CCAGGGATACATACATCTACTTACATACACCAGTAGCGTATCATGCTCATGTTATACATGAAAATGAGGGTACTTTACATGCAGATATTTAATTCAATTCAATCCAATCCAATCCAATAATCGTCAAAAAGACATGTGATATATCTTCGTACACAGGTCAGCTTTGGATGGTAATTAAGTAATTAAGTAATTATCGTGCCGACCGGACCTCTTGATCCCCACCCGGAATATTTTCGCATGAACTACCTCACTCACTCATCACCACCACCAAAATATTTCTCAAGACGAAAAATCCAAACTAAGTAACTACATACTATAAGATTATTCTGCAGACAGAGATTCAACCAATCAATCAATAATAGATCGATCGCGAAAGACAAGAAAAGAAAAGAAAAGAAAAGAAAACAAAAGGTATGCTAAGTCGCCTTTTGTCGTAAAACTTCACCAAAATGTCGCCATATCAATAACCCTCGTAGGAGCGCGGGTTCACAACTTAAACCTTGCGAATGGCGAAATATCTTAAAGTTCTTACAACTTCACCGTATGTATGAGTTATATATACGCCACTTCGAATCCATCTTGACATTGTTCCATTCTTTTGTCAATACGGTTATATAATGAAATTCCTCATACATCAATTCCATCATGCTATGTATACGTATACCAAAGAGCTCTTTCTCGATCTCAAAGAACGCGAACGGGAGGAGCAAGGTTCCATGGGCTGTCAAAATCGTGTCGTGCGAGCTGGGTTTGTGGTATCCATGTTCTTAACTTAAGCTTCTTATCGCTCGTGATATCGAATTGATAGTGAGAACTCGGTTTATCGAAGAGAGCTCGACGACGGCTCTATATTTAAACTCCCAACTAAACCATATATATAGTAATATACTACAATCTCTATCTATCTGGAGTTTTTAATCTCTAAAGATCTCTTATCAAAATCGTATTGTAGTATACTATTCGATCGATCTAGCAAACGGTCCATTTCTATATTTATACCAAAGGGGGATACTTTATCTCGATAGGCTATTCTACCCCGAGATATCATATCATATCCTATCCTATCTACCATATCAACCTTCCAATTCACCATAAAAGGTAACGAACCCACTTCAAACCAAAAGATAGTAATTTTCCAATTTACCCAGTTTAGAATCTTCCAATACCGATCGATCGCTGATAAAAACTAATTCCTTAACCGTACGTGCGTGCGCGTGCGATAAGGCCGTATCGATGATTTCCGTTACCAAAGAAAAATCCCCATTAGTTTCGTTTAATATACCGGCCTATCTAAGCTTCCCCACACCTTTCTTTCTTTCTTCCGTTCTTTCTTCCTTCCTTTCGGTCCCAAAAAATAAAAAAAATAAAAAAAATAAAGGATAAAATAAAGTAGAAGATAACAAAGCGGCGAGGCGGACCTTATACATGAGTATATATGTAATATACATGTTCATGCAATGCAAGTCTGACTCGCTTCAACAGCATCGCATCAACTCGACAAGTTTATTCCCAAGGAAGAGCTCCACTTTTTGTTTGACCGTTGTCAACCCTCTCCAGAAGAAAAGAAGAAGAAGAATAAGAAGAAGAAGAAGAAGAAGAATAAGAAGAAGAAGAAGAAGAAGCTTTCATGCACATGCACCACACCTAAGCCCTCTTTTCTGTAGTGTAGACACATGTCACAAGATCATATTCCATGGATCTCACTCACACCCGTTTTTTTCGTACCACCCCAAAGAGAGAGAGAGAGAGAGAGAGAGAGAGAG